CCCGCTTAGCGGCGGTTCAGACGTCCCCAAACTTGTGGCCAAAGCGATGTCTAGCGACAGCAAATCGTTTGAAAATCGCCCTCTAGAGGCACGAAAGCTGGGTCACCGCAGTTCTAGGGTAGAGACACGAGGCAGACTCCCGCTTAGCGGCGGTTCAGACGTCCCCAAACTTGTGGCCAAAGCGATTGTAGTTATAATCCTTGTGCTCCTGAAAGCAGGACGACGCAACCGGCCGCGTCTTCAGACGGTAGTTCCTATTCGACCACCACGGACCCCTCGACTACCAAAGGCGGTGATGCCCTGGAGGAGGAAATGCCCACGTGGAAGCAGCGCTTAAAGTACGCAGAGCTATAAGCACTTCTTTCCGCAACAGACGACAAAGGTGCAGTAGTGAACTCCTCACTAAAGTCACGGCCTCCGAGATGGACTGATTCAGATGTGCGGGAAGAAGCAGCGAAGCCCGCTGACAAATCAAGCACATGCACTGGCCTCCACATCGGGGAATGCCGCGACAACTGCACAAACACGGATAATGTGAAACTGCCGAGTCCCGGCTCCAGTTCGTCGAAAGTGGCTTGTTTGCTTGTGGACACAGTTGAGAGCTATAAGCACTTCTTTCTTTCCGCAACGACAAAGGTGCAGTAGTGAACTCCTCACTAAAGTCACGGCCTCCGAGATGGACTGATTCAGATGTGCGGGAAGAAGCAGCGAAGCCCGCTGACAAATCAAGCACATGCACTGGCCTCCACATCGGGGAATGCCGCGACAACTGCACAAACACGGATAATGTGAAACTGCCGAGTCCCGGCTCCAGTTCGTCGAAAGTGGCTTGTTTGCTTGTGGACACAGTTGTCGCCCAGGTCTCCGACAGCCAAAGCCACAAACCTGACCGCAGCGAACCAGAAACTCCCCCGTACAACAAGTTGGCCATGCTGATTGCGGGCGGATCGAGTGCCTACACAAATCCGAAAGAAAGGCGGCTGCAGCCAAACAATCCACATAAGATTCGCCGAATCAGAAACTGCTTAATGGCTTCAAGGTGCAGTCCTCTGCAGAAATCAGCCCCATGGAAGCTCCACCAAAAGAGCCACTTCTTGCTGCCACCCAGCGCTCAGGGCCTCACAGAGACACTTTTTCGAGCAAACTTTGTCAAAACGTGCAAGAAACCAAACGCATGCAAGTTTTCTGCAATTGCTTGTACAACAGCAAATCTGGCGTTGAAAGTGCATCTTCACCCCTCGTGGAGCGAAGCCGAGATTTCAAGATCATGTGTTGGAGAAACGTTTTTAAATTCCAGCTGTTCGTTTTCAAATACTTTTTCCACTGGATAACTATTTTTTATGGCGATACCCTAGTTATCTGCGATCACAAAGGCCAACATGTCCCTCTTCTTCAGTAGCCCTAATCAGTGGTGGTCCCCAGCTAGCCGAGCGCGTTTGGTCCCCATCTTCATGATTTTCCCCGTCTATGTGCCGCCGCGGTTCCACGCTTCCACTGTCGTATCTGAACTACCAGCTCACATAGTCGGCCAAGATTGACTGTGACCCTCGCAATGCGATCTAGAGATTTTCTACTACCCCCAGAGCTCTCTAATGTCCCCCCAAGTCATTTATCCACACACCTGTTCCAAAGTATCCCATTATGTCACCGCTCTTGTCTTCCCACTCAAAGCGTATGCTGGACCCCAATCTCCACCATCAATCTCCCCAGTATGACCAAAGAAGCGGCTCACGGTCAAAAGCCACAACTCTCACTCCCCCTCACCTTTCGAAGCCAGTAAAATGCGGTACTCCATGCGACCTAAGATTGTTCAGTAGTCCTAACTGACATATTTGCCTCCTCGGCCTGGCGAGACTCTTCTCTCTCAGCTACCGGTGAAAGGAAGGAGGCCTTCGCTGGGGGTATTTCATTAGAGAAACACCAACTGAAAAGTTACAGCCTATTGGATAGGGATGCATAGCTACCATAAGTGCCTTGTGTACAAAAACTGAATATATCCATCTTCTCTTCAAACGCGTCTTCCTGAACTTTCCTGGTTATTCATTGACCGTTAGTCACTTGCAAGCAAATGCAAGAATGCGACTCCACAGATTCCGTAATAAATCTCGCTGTTCGGGGGACGCGAATCAGATTTACGAGAAAACACACTACTCGCATATCTCATCAGTAGTATCCGCCGTTACGCCAGCAAAATCTAAGGTCCTGAAGGATCTGGAAAATCTCAGAACACATCTGCTCAAGATAGAAAGTGAAATGTTCAAACCTTCAAACCATACAGCTCGGCGGCCCCGAAAGCTGAAAACACCCCAGTGCTGCCAAATAATAATGTAAACGATTAAGCGGCCTCTAGCTCCGTGACCTTACAAAATACTGAGCCCTCCACCGCTCCTGCAAATGGACTTTCTGCCTCTCTATCTGTGAAAACTACAAACGCCCCCATCAGGCCAGTAGAACTCTCCTGGTACTGAAACGACCGACGCGGCACTTCTCCCAGCCAGAGCAGTGACTACACCAGACGTTTTCCGGGACTCGTCCCTTTTCACAACTTTCATCAATTCACGAACCGTCATAAAGCTCAAGTTCTCCGCCAAGCTCATGAAAATTTGCTCACTGACTTAATGTTCCCCGTCATCTTGTAGAAACCAACAAATGCGTGGAGCTTCCTCCTGATTAGCAGTGGCAAAAGCATACGCAACTTTCCGCATCCTTCCCATCACCCGCCTAAAATATCAAGTGAGAGGGGGAAGCTACAATTACCTTTCGCACAGATCTATGAACATTTCGGTGTCTGGATTCTTGGCCTGTCATATATCGGCTCGTTATTTTCGGTCAGGTTGAGTCCATCAATCTGTATCATTGGTTGATGCTTCTCATTCGTTGACACACCGTTTTCTAACATTGTACTCCACCTATATCCGGCCTCCTTGAAAGTGTCTTTGTTAAGTGTGGGATTCCTGGCTTAGGCTCGACGAGGCGATCACAGAAAATTTTCAGCGAGGAGTAACAAAGAGTGCCTCATCCCACCGCCTCTCCCCCTAAACATAACAGATTCCCTGGGCTTTGAATTTTCCCACTCAGTGATGTGGGACTGCGTGGTTGCCTCATCTGGAAATTCCGCGTATTGCATCCATAAAAATTATATCAGTGGCCGAAAACTCGTGACCTCCAAAAGGGAAAAGCAAGCAATGCCAACAGTTCCACGTATCTTCCACGAGCCTAAACCACATACTAAGGAACTACACAGTATCAAGTCTACCATTGACCGGATATTTCTTCAAAATATCTCTCTGACTAAACTCAACCTTACCTGCTCTAGCTCACTTTCTTTTTAGTGTCCACATCGGCCTTTCCAACAAACCGATAGTACCCATGTATTTCAACAACCAGTGCCACCGTGCTCATGTTGTGCATGAGCAACCGAATAATTATCCCACCAGCGCGCCCCAACACACCTCTACAAAATTCCACGGCCTACTCATCTAGCACACACTTCAGGTACCGTAATATTCTGGACCGTTAGAAAATACCATTGGTCTACTGATTTCCAAGCCGGATCTTCTTAAAGTTTTGTCCTTTGTGAAGTATTTTCCTCACGTTACTCCACCGTGACCCTCACAGTTTAACCGCAGTTTATTATTTTGATCACTGGAATAAACGGTCTGATTACAAACGATTCAGAACTAGTCGAAGTGACTTCATCATTGCGTTTTTAGGGAGCAAGGTGGACCGTAACATTTGGACCCCAGTCCAGGCCGCCTTCCCTCTGCTTGGAAGGAAGCGATTGTCACATCAATCTACAAAACGGGTGACCGACTATCGCCTGGCAGCTATAAGCCTATAAGCCTCACTAGCGTGCCGTGCAAGGTGATGGGACGCATTCTGAAGCGAGCTATTCTAGATCACCTTACTTCCAGCAATCTGATATCTCCAGCTCAACACGGATTTCTTCCAAACCGCTCTTGCGTGACAAACATGCTCGTGTTTATGGACAGCTTAACCCAAGCCAAGGACGAAGGACTCATATCGGATGCCATATTTTTCGACTTCTCAAAAGCATTTGATAGGGTCCCACACGTCCCGCTGCTCCACAAACTCGAGTCTTACGGGATTCAAGGGAAAATCCTTCGCTGGATCAAGGCGTTCCTATCAGACAGGTCATTCCGAGTGAGAATAGGCTCAACCTATTCCTCTCCAGCGCCGGTCTCCATTGGAGTTCCTCAAGGCTCCGTCTTGGGACCACTCCTGTTTCTGATCTACGTCAACGACCTCCCAGACGTTCTTGTGAGTCCATGTCTACTTTTTGGGGACGGCTTGAAATCCTGGAGTTTCGATGCCAGTGCCCTCCAAATGGATGTAGTCTCTGCCAAGCGGTGGTCGTTGGAGTGGCACCTTCCTCTGAATGATGAAAAGTGCGTCCATATAGCGTTTATAGGGGATTCAGCGAATACCTTTGTTATGCATGGTGAAAAGGGACCAGAAGACATCATGAGGATAGATGCCAAAAAGGATTTGGGCATCTGGGTCTCCTCAAACTTGTCCTTCTCACTGCACCATGAGAAATCGGTCCAAAAGGTATTCGCCATTTTACGGATGATCCGACGCACCTTCTCCCGTATTACTCGTATGGACTTCCAAATACTCTATGGTGCCTACGTCAGGCCGGTCCTGGAGTACGCCAACCAAGTTGTCTACTCAGGACGTACGAAAGACGTCACCCCCATTGAGCGTGTCCAGCGGGCCGCCCCTGGAGTACCGTCGTCTCCGAGGTGACCTGATTCTTACTTATGCCCTGTTTGCACAAAGCTTGGTAAATAGGTTTTTCACCGTTGACCAACAAACAACCGGCGGGGACATAGTAAGAAAATCTTCAAGCTCAGGGCACACATTCATTAGACAAAACTTTTTTCATTTCGGGTAGTAGCTGCGTGGAATGACCTTCCTCCGACGGTTGTACACGCTCCTTCTCGAACCCAATTTAAAGCACTATTAGACATTTATTTATGCGAATCCTCGCGCTGGCGAGCATACTGCCCCGCGCTGAGAACATAAAGAGCAGTGCTACACCCTCTTTTCACTTGTGCCTTTCAGGTGAACGACAGCCACTGACCGACAAGAACAAAACCGACCCGGGAAACTTGGGCAAAAGCCTCGATCCTGTGTATCAATCCGTGAATCCGTGAATCCGTGACCATTTTAAATCCATGGGTTCCCGTTTTTCCTGCCATATATGTCAGACACGTTTGCACCTCAGCTTTCTCTTGCCTGCTCAGCTCCAGATTGTTTCCTGATTGGCTATTTAAACCGATCTTCTTTCGTTATGCGCTCTATTCGATACTATTAGGTTCCAAATACATACCAACACTAATGGCGAGTTGAACTGATAGTGTTGTATTGACATTTCCACTACCAGCCCAATCAGCTGGCGCGTTTATCGAAACTATTGAGGATGTGATGACTATTCAAAATCGTGATGCGTCTGTCGTGCTGTACAATGGTTTGCAACCTTATAGTGGATATATTTGTGAACTTTAGGGTCTCAATAGCTCTCAGCTTGAAAAAGAAATAGCTGATGACAGAACCCTGATCAACGAACGCTATTTTGGTTTGGTTAACGTAGGTCGCACATTTCATCCTTAACTTCTTTAGTTTGGAAATACATGTTATTGCAATTCGGTCCTTCAAGCACTTTTCTTTTGTAAACCATTCCGAGAGAAGGTCCTTCAATACAGACTTACGAAGAGCCATAAGAAGGAAACCCTCTTGAGCTGCCTCGCTGATCTGTTCCACGCTATCACAACACAGAAGAAGAGCGTTGGCCAAATCGCACCGAAAAAGTTCATTAGCAGACTCAAGCGGGAAAATGGTATGGCATTGAGCATTTTTGATTAGAAACTTCAGGAGCCTTTGATAACTATCTCCAACAGGATGCTCATGAATTCCTCATCTACATCTTGAACGAGATATCTGACATTTTACAAGGTAAACCTAATCTGATCATGCTTACACCCTGTAGCTGAACAACAAGCAGATCAGCAGCTTCGAAAGGCCGAACGTTCAGATAACGATAAGAATCCCGACAGTGTCTCCGCCGATCGGTCACAAAACTGGATCCAGGATATATTCCAAGGTTGCCTAACAAACGAAACACGTTGCCTCACCTGCGAAAACGTACGAACAAAAGACGAAGACTTCCTCGATCTGTCAGTCGATATCGCGCAGAATTGCAGTATCGTGTATTGTCTGAAGTTCTTTTCGGATACAGAGATGATGCAGTCTGAGAATAAATATTACTGTGAATTCTGTCGATGTAAGCAGGAGGCGCAAAAATGGTGAGTCCTTGAGAAATATTTCCTGCCCTCAGTTCTTAGGTAGTGACTCCTGACAAACGATTCGTGCTGGGCAATAAAATATGCTGTGTAGCGGAATCATGGGTCTCCTTTGAGTGCATCCTTGTGCCAGGTCCAACAACGTTTTGTTGCCACAAGTAGCCACTATTATTTAGACTGGGAGTAATCTAACAGTATGCTCCCTTCCCTTCATTCGTTCCTATCAACCTGGCACGATAGATCTACCTGCTTGTTCAGACAGGTTGTGATCCGATTTTCGTGTCTGAGCCAGATAGCTTTAAGCAGTCATCTCTAACATTCCCCCACCTCACAGGACTTGTCTTGCTTCACTGTTCTTCACTCACATAAAGACCGTCTCTGCATAAGGAAGGAAAAGTCTGGCGCAGTGACCGACATTTATACGCGCGAAATGCCGTTGCTTGCGCCAACTCGCTCTATATTTAACCGTTCAACACAAACAAGATGGGTAAGTTGCTATCGCCTTCGCCATTCGGACACCCACTTCCATGTAGCCGTCGGCTGACATGCAGCTCACCCCACACGTCAAACCAACAAACAACTCGGGCAACTCCGTTTGTAAAGTTACAGTGGGTGATGCAGTCGACCATTCCTGTAACAGAACTTGGAAACACGCCATAGCGATGGTCCTCTACCATTAGACATTCACGGTTGGCTTCCGCGACTGAGTCAAGCACGCACCTGTCTAAATAACCTTGGTTATAGACTCGTTTTCCCGAAAGACCTGCGCCGCTCATTGATACTTCCAGTGAAGGATATCACCAACCTCCGTATTTAGTGGAGGAAGTGTAGGCATCTTTTGGGTACTCCATAAGGTATTAAGGAAGTCGGTCGCATTCCCGAACGCGGCTGTAGCTTGCATTTTGTATTGTTTAAAGATACTCTTCAGGAAGTAATCTCAGGGCGATGTTTGGTTAGCCGTTTCGTGGGTCCGATTATGGTCTGTCGCTTCCTTCAGTGTCTGAATAACCTTCCTACGGCTGGGCTGTACGTAAGTGAAGTCATCAATTGGGGTGGGATGAGAGGTATGGAAGACCAAAGAAAATATACCATCAGCTCAGTCTTACATCGCCACACTCTGTAGCGTGAACGTATTCACAGATCATGGTTTTCTGTGGAACCATAGTGCATGGCTGTATCACTTAGACATACAGCAGTGAAGCATCGGTGTTGAACACTGATGTCATGCTGCCGATGACTTAGACACAATGACTAATGTTGTCCCTAATCAAAGCCTCTGGCTGAAAACATGACAACAAGGCAGATGTGGTTTGTACAAGAACACCATGCTGCCACACTTGTTCTATCCCCCAACCTGAAAAGCCAGAAGACTTTGTCAGATCACTATCCAATGACCCTCCTGGTTGCCACATGGGTGTACTCTAGCATAACTCAGTGTATTGCTGTAGGCGGTTTCACTACGGTAAATTCTTATAGCCAGAGGATATACTGAAGTGTGGTGGCTTGCTTTCGCTTACCCACAGTGTTGTTCGCACCAAGGAAAGTAACCCGGCCGATGGCATCACAGCTGAGATGATCAGAGTTGTACGCAGGCTGAAGTACCGTCGAAGCGACAAAGCATAGACAGGAGGACGATTAGGATCTTTGAGCAGTCGCTGGGCCACACAAGGTGGCTTGCCACTGTAGCACAAGTCATGGAGTACGTAGTCGCCATACGTGTTTAATCCACTTCCCGCAGGACCATTAACCAACCGGGTATGAGACCCCATAGGTATCAAACTGCATCCCCAGTATCGTTGAATGGGTCATTCATGGGGGTGAGATAGACCAAGTGGTTAGCAATAAATACGATGCTTTCTCGTTCGATTGTTTGATTCGATGGCTTGGCATTGTGCTTCAGATGCCAGATAATCTACTGCCTCGCATTGTTGTAGTTGGCTCTGATTGGAAAATACCTCCATCTGAGCATCGCATGACCTGGAGACGGAGTACCAAAAACACCGGATCGTAACAGTGCTAGTGTATATCGGTTGTATAGTTGAAGAATCAGGGACCCGTCCCAATAATTCAATTCAATTTACCCACTATAAACCATGTGTACAGTGGTTCCAGTCGCTACAGTTTCGATCACCGGAAGGTGGACAGTCATCATCACCATCATTGTCAGCTGTAAGAACCGCGTACTCGTCGTACAGTGGTTGTAGCTGCCGCAGTTTCGT